GAGGAAAGGGGCTAGCCAACCGGATAAAAGTTAATCCTGCTACTGAGGAGGTCTACTCAGTTGTTTGTCAGGACCTGCATGCATGAATGCAGCTCCCCCAAGGCAATGGGGCGTCAGTACAAAATAATGTACAGAGTATGAAAGGCAATAGACTATGATGAGGTATCCTGATATACTGGAATAATCTGATAAATAAATCAAGGATAAGATAAGTGTACTGACCTGCTCCTAAATCTAAACTTATCAAAAATAATAAAACAACAACCTAGCCAAGCCCCCATAAGCTCGGCAGGTACAAACAGCACTCAAGACCACCTACTCAGGCCCCCATAAGCCCGGAAGGTGCCAATCAGTCTATATACCCCTATCGATAGTCCCTTAGCCCTGTAGGCAATCACATAGCCCTCTTAGGCATTAATATAGCCCCATAACAGCACATAGTTCTCTTAGGTATCAACATAGCTTATAGACAACTCATAGCCCTCTTAGGCAACAACATAGCCATGTAGGAAGCCCATAGCCTTCTTAGGCGTCAATATAGCCCTATAGGCAACTCATAGCCCTTCTAGGCATCAATATAGCCCCGTAGGCAACATATAGCCCTTTTAGTTATCCATTTAACCCCGTAGGCTGGACATAGCCCTTCTAGGCATAAATCACATTCCTACAGCTAACCACAATAGCCCCAAGTGCAATAATAACAATCAAATCGTTAAAAGCGAGCAATCTAAGCAACCTGTACAAATAGCCTCTAAGTCGTGTCCAACATAGGGACGCTACAAACTGAATAAGAATCCCGACAAGGGAGGATTATATCAACTCAAGCAGCCAATAATCAACAATAACGGCTACAAGTATATCAAGTATATTAAGGAACATGTCGTAAGTAGGGAATAGTCTTAACATACCTTTTTCGCTAAATTCATGTGGCTTAAAGACTTTAACTCATAACTCCCTCGATACTACAACAAGGTAGGACCATAATCAACACATAAAATAAAAGATACCATGACAATACGATAAAATATATGTATTTCCGTCGCAAATTGCTATTTGCTGCTTATAAAAGCTTGAGTTGATGAAAGAAGGGTCTTACCTCGATCTTAAATTTGTAATATGCCTCAAAACCTTCAAATATATTCAAACCCTTGCTGTCCCAACACTAAAGTGTGATATGCTACGCAATCGATAAAACAAATTATACCACGATGATGAGCCCAACGCGTAGAACAACTTTCGTCAAGGACTTAAGTCGAGAAAATCTATACTTCACTTGATCCTAGAAATGGGTTTCTCTAATTTCTCTGGTAAGTAGCTTAAAAATGAAGAAAAAGTTCGAAGAAGAAGATATATGCAACTTTCCACCAACCTAGGGCCCCACCTCACGTGCTTGCTTGAGCAGTCCTACGAAAACACAAATATCTCTCTATTCTGAAGTCGTATGAACAAACGGTTTGATGCGTTGGAAACTAGACTCGTAGACCTTCGATTTGATAGTTTGTGGGGCCCATAAATCTTTATAGATTGGGAGAAAATCTCCAAGACATTTGACCCAAATTTCAGAGAAATCTTTAAGAAGGAACTTACGATAACTTCCGCCAACTTTTATTTTGCCACTTACCTAACTTCAAAACTTGAGATGCAACACTTGAACACTTAAAATAGGACATACCACATCATTCTTAATTTATTACCCACCCTCCTTGTCTTTCCATGGAGATACGAGTAATTTTAGACGTTTCGGAAAGTCGGGGTGTTACAATGCAGTTTCAATTTCTTAACTTTTTTTTATATTAACATGAAAATCCCACAAGTTTCGAAAACTATTACAATTTTCCGAATTCTTATATAATTTTTAGTAAACCATAGTTCATAAACAAGATATCGTAATATTTTAGGCGCCGAATTGAAAAATTACATATCTCCGTATTTCTTTTATAAATAAATGTTTGCTATTACAAACTTTCAAATATATATTAGAAATTTTTTTGATAATTTTCACAACTTGTTAGATTTCCATATTTATGAGAAAAAAACAAATTTCAAAACCCAAATTAACATATTCAAATAAAATTTTAATTTCAAAATAATGTCCAAATTGATTGAACTTTTAACTTTTTCCTGCGTACCTAGGGAGATTTTTTGATCCACTAAAATCAGTTAAACAAGTTGGAGATCCATTAATTTTTTGTGATCACTACGTAACAATCATATATATTAGGGTTTTACGCTAATTTTCTATAAAGTTTTATTTTCTCCTTAAAAAGAGTTAAAACATTACCATAATTATTTTACTTTTTTTTAAAAAGAAAATATATTTATCTTCCATATTTTTGGTTTTTTTTTTCTTAATGAAAAAATTTGGAACTCTATAAATTAAAGACCCTACTTCTCATACAACAACATAAATACATAATAACATTCACGTCAGTGTAGTCTTTTAATAGTTTTATTTATGAGAGATTATTCTCCCAATAAAATTTATATTTTTTAATATTAATTTTCAATATATAGGTCATTTGATTAAACCTTATTACTAATATATTTTTTAGTATAATTTTATTTATCACCTAATTTATTAATTATATAATTTATAAGCTTCCACCTGACATCATAATTCTTTCAAACCCAACCATAGATATCCAAAGCCAAAATCAAACTTATACATATGGTCCAAAATTGTCAAAGAGAATTTCTAAAAGCTGGAATCTATAACGTAAAGATAAATAATAAAATTGATTAATGTTCCATGATGGTGGAATTAACACGTGGACATATATTGCCTCGTCTATTCTTACTACTAGACTTTTAAAAAAATAATTAACAGTACTTCAAGAACAAATAATTGATGTTAAGGATAAATATTAAAAAAAAATACTTTTCCTTTGATATATATGCTAAAAATGATAAATAAAAGTATACATTTTTGAAATATAGTGGATAAATAAAAGTGAACACTGATGAAGTAACTATTTCCTCTCTCCCTAATTACTTATTCACATTTGAATTGACACACCTATTAAGTAAACAATGATTGACATAGTGAGCTTATTATTTTACTCCTATTAATTATGAAGTGGATGAATTAAAAAACTTAAAATATTAAAGAAGTTCCACCTTTTTCAAAGTAATTAATTAAGGGTATAATAAGTAAAAATAATTTGTTCTTTCTTGATTTGTCAGAATGGACAAGTAATTAGAAACAACTAAAAAAGAAAAATTGAACAAATAATTAGGGGTGAGGAAGTAATAGGGAGCGTTGAGAGGGCATTAATGACAATATTTACTCAGCCTCTACAAGAGTTGTATATAATGCAGTCCTATATTCTCATAGCGAAAGGCATAGAGTTGTTGGTTTAGCAAAAACACAATTAACATGGCTTCAAAACCAGGGATTCTGACCGAATGGCCATGGACATGGCTTGGGAATTTCAAGGTACTCATCCTTTCTCTTTTCATCTTGAAGCCATTTCTTTATATTTCTCCTTTTCATAGTCAATCACTTATAATTTAAACATGTATCTTCTTGTCTTTCCCCTCTTTAATCCTGTTGTTGAAAAAGTGTTCTTTTGATGAGTGCCACGTTACCTCTATTTTTTTCTGTGATGCACGTTATAGTAGTACGTCTCATAAATAATTGGACCATGGGCATGCCAGCACATGATATTGAATTGATTGATTTTGTTTGTATGTATGTATGTATGTAGTACGTTGTTTTGGCACCATTTGTGGGACGTAGCATTCAGTCATTGTTGAACAGAGAAGATGGAAGCAAGATAGATATTGGATACTTAATTATATTTCCATTTCTCCTATTCCGGATGCTTCACAACCAAATATGGATATCCTTGTCCAGATACAGAACTGCAAAGGGTGATAATCGAATTCTTGATAAGACCATTGAATTTGACCAAGTTGACAGAGAAAGAAATTGGTACGTATATTCATCAAAATTGTTTTGTTTTCACACTCAAATTAAACTATCTCCTCAAACTTTACACAAAACATATACTCCCCCGTTTCACAAAGAATGACCTCCTTTCATTTTTAGTCAGTTTCAAATAGAATGACCTCTTTCCTTTTTTGGTAACATTTTACTTTTTGCTTCCCACGTGACATGTTTAAGACCACAAGATTAAGAGCAATTTTGTACATTTGACATAACTTTAATTTAGGACCACAAGATTCAAAAGTCTTCTTTATTTACTTAAACTCCGTGCCAAGTCAAACCAGGTCATTCTTTATGAAATAGAGGGAGTAGTACTTTATCAAATACCGGTAGAAACTGATTTTTTTTTAAAATTTTTTTGGCAACAACAGCTAAATTTGGAGCAATTATTAATTTATAATAAAACGATATGAAGTACTCCTGCATTTTGTTGCCCGTAATCATTTTATTATAGTATATTTTAATACCACCACAGAAAAGCACTTTTTTATTAGACGGCAATGTAGTACAAATTTTAATATTTTGTACTCTCTTTTGGAACAGTTAAAATTCAAATTTCATTCTAAATTTTGAACGTAATTAAAATGGAACTTATAACCTTCAAAAAGTACATAAAAATATTATCAACTAACTACAAGCTTGAAAATATTTTTAATATATATTAAAAAAAAAAGAATGTAATTAACTCTCTAGTTTTTAATTACATCACATGATGATTAATTGAGAGAGAGGAAGTAGATCATTTTAAGATCATTAATTATTGAGTGAGGAAGTTGGGGATATTTTTAATTGAGAGAATGCATAATATGCAGACCTGCCCTTGTGGGGATACATCTAAGAAAATAGGTGTCGTAGAAAGCGATTATTGAATAAGCAGGCCGGGCCTAGGCGCGCATATTGAATTTTACGGTCTTAAATAAAGTTAGATTAATATTTGCAGGGATGATCAAATCCTACTTAATGGACTATTGTTCTATTATGGATACATGAAGTTGGAGCAGTCTCATTACCTTCCTATATGGAGGAGTGATGGTATCATTTTGACAACATTGCTTCATATTGGTCCTGTCGAATTTCTCTATTATTGGCTTCACAGAGCTTTACACCACCACTTTCTTTACTCTCGTTACCATTCACATCACCATTCATCCATTGTAACTGAACCCATTACTTGTAAGTCATCTTTCATTTACTTTTATCTTTATTATATTTACATTTTAATTTATTATTCCTACCTAGTAACTAGTACATACCTATCAAATAATATGTAACGCTTTCTTTTAAGTATTTTCCAGAATCAACATTATTTAATCTTTAACATCCCCAATTTAACGATATGACTTGTTAGGGGACCCTCATCACCACTTTTTCCTTACAATAAAAAGACACGTCACACCTGGACTCTCAACAATATTCTTGAGAAAAAAAAGTTGTTAGATTTCGTAGAGAATTTGGTTACATCTACTTCAATTTCTTAAATTTTCTATCTAATAAAGAGTCACATAATTTAAAACAGATGGCTTAATAAATATGACTAGCTAAGTAGGTCAGATACTGACAAGACATAAAAATTGTGTCCTATTTTCGGTGGCATGCACGTTATGAAGGGCCCTTCATTTTGGACAATAAACAACAACCTGAGAGCCACACAAAAAATTAGGCTAAAGTTAATATCTCAAAAATGTTTACTTGCACTTTATCACAAAAATAAATTATCTGCAAATATTTTATAATTGGAATATTTCATTTCATATAAATATTTGGCTCTTTGTAACTATTTAAATTGGTCGATACATAGTCACTATTGATTTTTAACTATAATTAATAAACGATAATAGCGTAATTGCTATTAAATATATATTTTCTTAGAAGAAATTACTAGTGATAATTACATTTTAACAATCTTTGTAAATGCAGCTAAAGTGTATCGATATTTATTCTAATGACAATTAACTAATGCCGATAAAAATTCTAATATGTTAATGATACTATTTTTATTGTAGTGAGTTAGTTAGAAAACTGGAAGTTGTTAAATAACGGTTGAACGGGCCTTTTAAGGGGGGTATTTATTCTATTTCGAAAAAGTTGAGGTGGTAATTGGGCCACCTCAAAGTATAGTTGCGTAACTGTAAATCCGAAACAAGTCAAAGTGAAATTAAGTTGTTAACATTTATAATACATGGACTAATAGCTTATGATTTTTATAACATATATGGACAACAGTACAATTGCAATTAAAATGTAGTAGTATTAATTATTTGCGTTAAAAATTAAATTTATGTTTTTATTTTCTTTTTTCAGCTGTGATTCATCCATTTGCAGAGCACATAGCATACTTCTTGCTATTTTCCATACCACTACTCACAACTGTGCTAACAAAGACTGCTTCAATAGTTTCATTTGGTGGATATATCACTTATATTGATTTTATGAACAATATGGGCCATTGCAACTTTGAGATCATTCCCAAGTGGATGTTCTCTACTTTCCCTCCTCTCAAATATTTGATGTATACACCATCGTAAGTCTCTTATTTCTCTACCTTTATGTGTCATACAAGTTCTGAGCACTATTGAAAAATGTATTTTGATTGTAAAAGGTGAAAAAAGATAGAATAGTAGCTAGTAATAATGTTTCATATGGAAAAAACCAAGGAAGTTTTTCACTATTTGAGTGAAAACCTGTTTTCCACCATGCATTTTTCCAGTGAGACAGTTATGTGGGAAAATTATGTTCTATAACACAAATTTTCCACTAATTATTCGTGATGGGAAAACGTAGTATAAAATTTTAATTCTACACAATGAATTCTGCTAACTTTAGTTATATATTTTGATGTAACAGGTACCATTCACTACATCATACTCAATTTAGGACAAATTACTCACTATTCATGCCAATATATGATTACATCTATGGTACATTGGACAAATCATCAGACACATTATATGAAAAATCACTTGAAAGGCAAGGGAAATCACCAGATGTTGTACATTTAACACATCTAACAACACCAGAATCCATTTACCATCTCAGGCTAGGATTTGCTTCTTTCGCCTCGGAACCCTACACCTCTAAGTGGTATTTCTGGTTAATGTGGCCTATCACATTGTGGTCTATGATGGTTACTTGGATTTATGGTCACACATTTACTGTTGAGAGAAATGTATTCAAGAATCTCAATTTGCAAACTTGGGCCATTCCAAAATATCGTGTACAGGTAACTACTACTACTATTTATTGACATATGTTTACTACGTTCAATATTTTATTACTCTACATCTTTATTTCATTTTCAGTACTTTATGCAATGGCAAAGAGAGACGATTAATAACTTAATTGAAGAAGCTATCATGGAAGCAGATAAAAAAGGCATAAAAGTTTTGAGCCTTGGACTCTTAAATCAGGCAAGTAACATTTTATTTATTTATTTAGCGGGCAATTGTCTATGTAGAACTGTTTTTATTTTTAATAGTAGAAAATGAAATTTGAAAATTGGAGTTTATTTGTCCCTAAATACAAGTTGGAGTTGTGAGTAATTTGGAGTGAAAACACATTTTTGTTATTTTTCAAATTTTTGAAGATTTGGAATTCAACTTCGTGTTGAGTTTCGAAATTTTAGGATCAAACATATTTTCAGAAGTTCAACTTCGAAAAAGTGATTTTTTTTATGGCCACACGCAATAATGCTTGTTTAATACTTTGAACAAAAATTAATTTCATGCATCTATATATACATGTAACTTTTAATTGCAGGATGAGAAACTGAATAACAATGGGGAGGTTTACATAAGAAGGCACCCTCAAATAAAAGTAAAGTTGGTGGATGGAAGTAGCCTAGCTGTTGCTGTGGTCCTAAATTCAATTCCCAAAGGAACTACCCAAGTGGTCCTTGGAGGCCAGTTGTCAAAAGTTGCTAATGCCATTGCCCTTGCTTTATGCCAAGGAGGAGTAAAGGTGATCACATAATTATATATACATTGAATTTCCTCACATTTGTGTCCCTTTTTCTCATTTAATTTACTGTGTTTGTGATAGGTCATGGCATTGAGAGAAGAAGAGTACAAAAAGCTCAAATCAAATCTTACTACTGAAGCAGCAATTAATTTACTTCCCTCAAAAACATATAATTCAAAGGTACAAATGATAAAATCAATGGAAAAGATTGTTTACCTTACTACCTCGTCTTAAGATAAGATATATGCAATAGGACTTGAAGCGCACCTAAGCGCTTTTGTCCATAGAGAATATTGAGAACTAAAGTCTCCAGGGGTTTCTATGCAGCAAGTCTCTCATTGTTTTCACATCAAATAATAAATAAAAGTATTTACTTAAGTCGGAAAAAAGAATATGTTTTTATTTTAAAGAATTGTTTATTGCAGATATGGCTAGTAGGGGATGGATTAAATGAAGATGAACAATTGAAAGCACCAAAAGGAACACTTTTCATTCCATTTTCACAATTCCCACCAAGAAAAACTCGCAAGGATTGCTTCTACTTTCACACACCGGCAATGATTACTCCAAAACACTTTGAAAATGTGGATTCTTGCGAGGTTAGAATTATACTACAATTTCCTTAGGGATCGTTTAGTATTTGATTTGAAAATGAGTTATGCATGTATTAAAAATCCTACACAAGTAATATAACGTTTGGTAGCTGGTTAAGGGGTAAATTATTCATGTATAAAGTTATATAGTGCTTGATTTGCTATTTAGAAATCCAGAATCTACGTATTATTTTATGCAAGATAGAAGATAATAAGTAATGCATGAATAAGCAAATTCTGCATAACTAATCTATGCAAAAAATAATACTTAGATTCCCATATAACTAATTCATACTGGCATAACTCTAACCAGTTACCAAATGACCCCTTAGTTTATTTTTCAAAGTTTAATTTGATCCTTTTTATCATGTAAGAAATCTCAAGTTTTTTTTCTTTTATAACAATAGAATTGGCTGCCAAGAAGAGTGATGAGCGCTTGGCGTATGGCAGGAATTCTACATGCACTTGAAGATTGGCAAGAACATGAGTGCGGGAACATGATGTTTGACATAGAGAAAGTGTGGAAAGCAAGTCTTGTTCATGGTTTTCAGCCAATATCTGTGGTTTCTGCTTCTGAATCAAAGGCTTAAGTTAAACACTTTTGTCATCTAGCATTGGTGTGGTGGCTTATGAGTTAAAAGAAAAAGTTTAATGTACCTACTTGATATATCAAATCTTATATATTGCTCCTAATATGTTATACCTTTCTTCGTTTCTTTAAGAATTTCTATGTTGTTCTCTCGATGTTGAACTATATTACTTCTATTATATAAGATATAATTAGCTTTTTCATTTAAGTTTAGGCTTAATATTATCCAAGTACTAGATAGAAAAAGTCTCTATTTTTTTCCCATTGACTTCTAATGGAGTTTGAATTTGCAGGTAATTTTAGTATCTAGTAAAGAGTAGAGGCGTAAATTTAAATTATTTTTCTTGAAGAATTTTGGCACGTGAAAGCACTTTATGTTTGAAGCTTCATTAATGACATGAACTGAACCTGAGAAAATTTAATGACAGCAAGGATACGCAAAAATAAAACAATGGAGCAATAATTATGTAGTAAAGAACAAATTTGACATTCCTGTTAGTCTAAATTTACTTTGCAGTTTTGATAATTTAACAAACTATGAGATCTAATAGGAGACCTAATCCAATGAGAATCAACATGAGAGATTGAGAGTTGGTTGTAACAAAAGGACAATTATAAAAAGCTGCAACATTGTCACTGGAGCGGTTGGTGTGAGTTTGTCTGCAGAGCAGTAGTACTCTCAGGCAATGGTATTAATCCAAGGTTGTGTCAATCTTATAAGAGTCTCTTCTCCAATGAAACAATCTAGTTTTTTGCATTCTTGAAAATCACACAGCAAAAGCCATTCTCTCAAGAAATATTTCTCGAAGAACAACAAGGGACTTGATAGAGTTATCTTTGTTCTTAGCTGTTATTTAGGATTATATTTTTGTTCTTATTCTTGTAAGATCTATTCGTTATAAGTTATAAAGGTTTTAGATCATCTAGAGCATTTCTTGAGTTTTCTGAGTTGTAGCTAGAGCAAGGGGTTTCTCACGCAAACTCTTGAGTTGTTTACTTTGAGTTGTTATGTTCCGCACTATTATTGTGTCAAGGGACCTAGTCCATGGACTAGTTGTGGACACATATTTTCTATCAATTGGTATCAGAGTCTACCTCTATATACAACTTACACCGAGAGAGAACCTAGATTTAAAATGGCTGCTCCACTAAATTTGGAAGAGGGACAACCGTCAATCAAGCCACCTCGATTTTATGTTCAGTTTTATGGTTGGTGGAAAACTCATATGCATGACTTCCTCATTGATGATGATAGTGAGTTCTGGGATATCGTCCTAGATGGTCCTCAAATTCCGAAGATCAATGTGAAAGAAGGATAATTCACCATGGTTGTTCCTAAAACTCGACAACAATACAATGAAGCCGATAGAAAAAAGATTGAAAAGAATTACAATGCTAAGAAGCTTTTGGTGTGTGGTATAGGAGCCGATGAATACAACAAGATCTATGCATGAGAAACTGCAAACGAGATCAGAGATTGCTTAAAAACTGCTCATGAAGGGACGACACAGGTGAAGGAATCAAAATTGGATATTGATACCACTCAATATGAGAACTTCACTACTGATGGAGAATGAAATTATTCAAGATATGCATACCAAGTTTACCTCCTTCATGAATGAGCTTTCTTGCTTGGGATAACCAATTCATTCAAGTAAGCATGTAAGGAAGGTGCTAAGAATTATTCCCAAGTATTTGGCAAGTAAAGTAGATGCTATAACAGAAGCAAAGGGCCTGAAGGTTCATACTATGGATGCACATATTGGGAATCTTCAAACTCATGAGATGAAGATGCAACATGAGTTCTCTAAAACAAGAAGTAAAGAAGGATAAATCACTGGCTCTCAAGGTTTCACAAAGTTAGATCTATGAAGAAGATGTGGATATGGCCTATCTAACTCGCAGATCCCAAAAAATTGGGAGAAAACATGAAGGTTTTTGTGAAGAAAGGAAACTCTAGCAGGGAAACTAAGGTTAATGATTTGTGCCACAAGTGTGGCTGTAACACTCGAAAGTTGGAAAGTAAAAGAAAAAGGAAAACACTAATTTTTGGGCACTGAGCAAGTTCTACAAGTCCAACCTATGAGTCGTAGGAATTCATACGGGTCGTAGAAGGGAAGTCGTAGACCTGAAGATGAGTTTTGGAAAATTAAGTTTATGAAGTTGGACCTACGACTTGACTGGATGAGCCATAGGAGTTTGGACGGACCATAGATGACACCCGTGGGATTGATTCATAGTTTTAATTTAGGATCTCAGTTCCACGGAAGGAGTTGACAGGTCGTCATGTGGTCTATGGGTCATAGGATGGGCCTCATAGAAGGGGTGTAGACTTAGTGAAAGTTTGAACTGAAAGTTGAGTTCTACGGATGGGCTCTACGGATCGTAGAAATTTGGACGGACCATAGAAAGGTCTCGTACGATGAAAGGTGAAATTCAAGTTTTTGAAGTTTGTTCTACGATTGACCAGTGCGGACCTTAGAAAGTTCTACGGATCGTAGGTCACAACTGTAGGTTTGACCGACAATTATTTTTAAAGGGTATTTGAGTCTTTTCATATGCACCTAATTCCTATACTACTTCATTTTGACCCTAATTCTAAGCCCTATAACTATTATTCACCCTTAGAAATTTCCCCAACTCTTTCATTCCCTCAAATTGCCAAAACCCTCTCCAAAGTTTTCTCCAAAATCGTCTCTCTAGATCAAGGAAGAAGAAGCTTATGTTCTTCAAGTTCAAGTCTCCTTTCTTCATCATTCCTTAAGGCTTCAATCAATAT